CGCTGTCCTGCAGTGTTTAGATGTGCCACAGGTAAAAAACAGTGGACTGAAATGGTTTAATTACCTCCTCCCTGTGTAGATCGGTTCTCCTGAGCCTTGCTAATGACCTAATTATTCTTTTCAGGTGTGGTGCAGCAGAGGCACATCTAAAGGTTGCAGGACAGAGGCCCTTGAGGACTGGAGTTTGACACCCCTGTCACGAGAGGACCGGTCCTCTCGTGACAGACAGGTTAAGTAGATTTAATAATGGATACTTTCTACTTTTACTCCACTCACTACATTTCTACTAAACTGTCGCGTTACTCGTTACATCCAAGTCGCGTTGCGCTTTTTGTCCGTTAAAATGTGAAGTTCAGGGTCTTAAGGTGGCGCCGTAAAATCCAAGCAATGACTTACTGTCTGTTGTCACCCATCGCCTCCACCTTTACTCACACGCGGAGCTCCAGACATGCGCAGTGGTTTCCTCTGAGTGGGAGAAGATGTCTGTCTAATCGTCAGTAATATAATAGCCCTGCCTAAATCATAACATATGGCGACATGTAAAATAAGCAGCCTAATAGACTGTAGATATCTGCATTTGCCATAGTGCTAAGATGGTTTCCACTGTGTATATTAGTGCATAGGGAATATTTGGTGTGTGAACTAAATAGGCAGATATTACTGTTTTAAGAGGCAGCATTTAGTTGACTAAGCTTATGCAAATTAAAGCATAATTAAACTCTCTGAAGTCAAAACCCTGCCCATGACAAATTTTTAGGAAACTCCAACAAAGTGAGCGGAGCCATAATACATTGAGGGGCTAAAAGTGGGGAGTAGTGTAGGGGGTGAAGTGGGTCTGTGGTCAGGTCAAAATAAATATTGTTGCCAAATTGGCACTTTATTGCTATATCTAGTGATTTTTTTTTTTTTTTTTACCGTTGCAGAAACTTTTTTTTTTTTTTCAAAAACGACAAATCTGGTGACTTTTTTGTGTGTTACTAGGGACTTTGTGGTGACAAGTGAAAGCGCCAATCGCAACTCTGCTGCTCAGTCCTGAGCGAGTGGCTGTCATGACCCCTCCTGCTTCATGAGCACTGCAGTAGTCTGTCTTACACAGTCATCTGTCCTGCAACTTACTGCCAGCTGTCAGTGCAGAGAAGACCCATTCCACTCCATGTCCACAATGCAAATAAATCACAGACACAAAGCTGAGATGCTCACTAGTGAGTGGGTTCTACGGGTTGTTGGTTTTGAGGTGAAACTGCAAGATGGAGGTAGACAGAGGGCTGGAGAACCTGATTGAAAATGCTGCAGGACGGTTTGAGGGCAGACAGGTAGTCTAACAATGATGGCGGTGGAGCTTGAAGTTACCAGTCATGAGAATCTAAAGTGAGGGTCATGGTTGGTTCTGGTCCGACTTTGAGGGGTCAAGAGGTTTCACAAGTAGGTCTCAGGAGGTGCTCAGGGAGACCGTGGAGTGGGAGAAATACAAGAAGCTACACTGGGGCTCAAATAGTTTATAGGGAAAATACACAGACGTTCGCAAGGAGGGCTTGACATTAACAGAAGGGTAATGTCAAAGAGTGACTGGCAACCAGCTCCTTACATCCAGGGTGTAATGAGGCTGCTGGGTATGCAGAGAGTAAACGTGGATACCCAGCAAGTTTACCGCCGTACCTGCAAAGAATCAGCTTTAAGTCCTGCAGCTGGTTCACCTTGGTACCCTCTGGTGGCTACGTGATAGGAGTGTTAGGAGAGTCATGGAGCAAACACAACACACTGACAAATACAAGGTATTTATTAATATTATAAGCCATTGTCTTATTTATTATGCTGTGCTACAAATCACAGTAAGTGTGATTATGCTCTCTGTTGATTTGAAAGGATATTTACCAATTTAGTATGCAAGAAGAAGACTTTATTCACACCATATATTTGCAAAACTTTAAAAACATCAAATGGGTCTAAAACACGAAGGAGGGGATTTACTGAAATGACCAATAGGATCAGATTAGATTTCTCTGCAGGCAAACAAGCACATGGGGTGCTGACCAACGTTGTCAGTTGTAAAGCTCTTAGCCGTCTTTTCACACTGTAAGGAGATCTAGTGGAGTTATGGTTTTGAGGATATTTTCTCAGCATGACTCCTGCTTGCTAAACCCCGCAAAAGAGCATGTTAAATGTTAACAAGTGAAAAGAAAGATGGGGATCTGCGAGGAGCTCTGAAAAAGAAGTCTGTTCAGATGTGTAAACCTGGAAGAGATTAGTGAAACGTGCGTGAGAAACCAGTTTAATAAAAAATATAATAAAACAATGAGATAACTGGAAAATAAAAAGAGCAAGACGGAGAGGGTGAAATGAAGGCAATAACAAAACATTAGAAGCGTGGCAGAGGATTGAGTGAAACAGCTTGAGGTAGATGTAGTTTTCTCCAATGGAAGACCCAAATGAGAAATTTCCACTTGTGCCCTAAGTCCCAGCCTCATTAAAACATATCACTACTCTTGTCATGTGGGCATCCAGCAGGAGCATGTCTGTGACCCATTCTGGTTAGTGACCATTAAAAAATACTAAACTAGAAGAAACAGGGGGATAAAGATAAGAGGGGTAGGAGGAACAGAAAGAACAGAAGATGTAGAAAGGATGTTTAGGCAAGCAGTCGAGAGAGAAAGGAACCTTAATTTTACTGCCTCACTTCATCTCTCAGCCACCCTTAGTCTCCCTGTTTCTTCCCCTCATCTTCTGCCAGAGGGGGTAATGTAGCATGAAATATGTACTTAAGGCCAAACTCAGGTGACACCATAAAAAGAGTACTTGACAGTCTGGGTTTTTCTGTGTCTGTGTCTGCTTATGTGCACCCACATTACTGTACGTGTGCTTGAGCACATTGTATAACTGTAGCACAAGCTTTATTTCTGTATATATTTAGCATAAAATTAGGTTCTGTACGAGTGCATGCACATATTGTTTTCCCTGTATGTGTATGTAAGGAGAGGTGTGAGCTGACCAAATCATGTCCACACACTTAAATGTGGGTATTATGTATTTTCCAGGCTCATAGTGGCATTTTACTGCACAATCAAGTCACTATGTTACCTTGAATTGTTATAAAAGGGCTTTAAGTATGAAACATAACTTCGCAATTTGACACCTTGAAATTGTTCTCTGACTCTTTAAAAAGTTTCTACTCTTTCCAACACTCCGTCTTCTGCACGTCACAATACCAATGGTCCTCCATTATCCCTAGAACTGTTGTTAGGAGTGTTGGGCTAGGAAAAGCTCAGCAGACAGTTTTACCAGGCGTTTGTTAACTCAGGCTGGTCTTAGTCTGGTGGAGCTTAAGTGTTTTAGACAGGTTAGTTTGAATATAGTCCAACGTCACTGTAAAAGCTTAGAAGTGCAACTTAATAGCGCTTCTGGAACAAGCAGTTCCCCTCCAAACCAGTTGGTGGCAGGAGTGATTATATGCCTAGATAGCCTATACATATATATTAACACAGGCATATACTTATTTGGTTCAAGAAAATATTTTCTTTTGTGAATTATTAGTAAAATATTAATGTTGTGCACAGAAAAGGCTGTGGATGAAATCAGTTATTAGCAACAGGTCTAGCCTGGCCACCTCTATGAAAAACCCTTGACTCTGCCACTGTCAATAAACACTTCAAAGTAACTTACTAATTTCAAAATGTGTGGTTTTGGAGCTAGTAATAAGCTGAATTGCCTTGCAAAAACAAGCAGTTGCACCAAGAAAAAAACATGGATTTAGGATTATGATTCAAACTGAACATTAGGCATAACTGTGTGCAAACCCATCCACAAGGAACATGACAGACTCGCATATAAAAGGGCCTTAACCTTTGTGTGTGCGAGGACTGAGGCAAATGTACGAGGACTGGGGCAAATGATACAAGTGCTACGGGTGTGTGGTCGATTGGACCCCATTTGTAAACACAAGGGTTAAAAAGAACTGACAGAGCCTTGTACACTTTAAGGAAGTAATGGCCTGTGGCTTGATCCACAAACTGTCATGTGAAAGATTTAAATAAGTAGGAAAGAAGAATATTTAAATCTGAGTCTTAGTGGGTTGATATTGTTAGTAAAAACAGCAAAGTTAAAGAACTGTAAGAATCCCTGCAAAGCATGGTTATCTGTCAAGTGATTACATGTTATCACTTCATGCAACAAAATTAAAAAAAAAAATATTTTCCTCCCAAAAAACGCAACCTACCATTTCTGAAGGGTTTGATATGGTGGCAGGCCTGTATTCCTGTATTTGAGATTTATGCTGAGGAAAAGATTGGTAGTTTCTATCTGCTTGAAATCTTTGTTCGTGTTCTGCAAGCCGCCTCTTGAAGTAGACACCACTGATTTTGTATATTCCTACATAAATTGCATCAGTAGTATCTGCCTACTTATGCACTTCTCTCCTCTTCGTCTGATCACATAACATAACAATGCTTTCCCTTCTCCCAACATCCATTTCCAGGAATCTCCACCTTTTAATCGGCAGCTGTCATTCCTCTGCTTGATTATCAGTCCATCCACTAATTGAAAAGAATCATCTTCTGCCTCCCTCTGTCCCCTTTCTGATACAAAAATGACCTCTTAGTTCATTCAGTCAGTTCATTTTAGCACAAAGAGAAAACTTCAAATTAATTTTGATTCTGCTCTCATGTAAAATACATCCCAAGCATTAGACTTCACACTCTTCCTGCATTCCTAATCCTCTCCCACCATTTATCTGAGCCTCATCCACCCTGTTAAGGAAACCGTAGAGGTGTGTTTTCTTTCCATATTTCTGCCTACTCTCCTGTTTTCTGATCAGTCTTGTGCTTCACCTCTCTAGGTATTTTATTTTACAAGTGTTTATACTGGAGATATTAATACTTTTGATCCACAGCATCTGTCTATCCTCTTATCTCTTTTACACAGCTCTCTAATTCTCATTCTTTAAGCTCTCTGTCCTTCCAGGTTAAATTCCTCTCTATCTAGATTTATATGTTCTGCTTTAATAGTTTCCAAGTATTTATATCAGTTTCTTACTAGACTTTTTAAAAAGTTCTTCTAGGAACTCTTGTGTCACTCAAATTGTCTAAAACTATTGACATCAAAATTGTTCTTTGTATTTCACTGTATACAACCACATGTCCACTGCAATAATAAACTTTTTAATAGACTTTGGAAAATCTATATTTTTCTGTCCTACACATTTTTTAATACATAAACATAAATGCAAAAGCAAAGCATACAATATTTTATTTTTCATTGTGTTTATTGAGAAAATATTCTGTCTGCATTGGCTTTCTGCAAGATAGATGAAATAAATTCCTAGGGATATGCACAATCTATTCAGCACAGACATTTCTATTGGAAAAGCTCCTTTTGGCTTGGCTGGCTTTGTATTTTTACTGCTAGCCAATTTGCTGATGGTTTTTTTTGGTGGCCACATCTTGTTTCCATTAATATCTTTATGACACTTCAATTTGCTTTTCCCACTCACGCGATCCTGCTTCCTAACTGGTGTCATACTGGCTGCTGCCTCAATCTGTGCCGCCTGCCAGACTGGCCACGATCTGGAAAATTCTATCTTGGAAAGAAAAATCGAAAAAGGACACCTGCACATGTGAAGTAAAGAATATATATGTACAGACAAAATGACATTCAGATATATTCTTGCACACATCACGCACTCATACATGGAAATGAATTCTAGCCCATTTGCAAACTTAGCTGCATCTTGTTAAGGTTTTCCTCAAAGAAAGACTTCCACACATAACGTAGAAAAAACTAAATGCCGTAATACCAAGTGTATGGACTTTGCATTGTTCTATTATTTCACAGGTCAAAAATAAAACTTGAACTTTGATAGTGTCATTTTTTCTGGTAACACTTCATTTGAAGGGGTGTGCATAAGACTGACATGACACTGTCATGAACATAAAGAAGTCTTTATGACTGTCTATGACAGTTGTCATGAAGTGTCATTCGGTAAATAATGACACTTTTAATGCAAAGTTGCTCTAAAAGTTGCATTAAAAGTCCATTAAAAATGCCAACTTTGCATTAAATTATTATAATTTACAAAATCATGCAAAGTTATTAGCAGCAAAAATGTTGTGGTAACACTCCCAGTAATGAAAATTGGATGTACATTGTAGATTGATTCAACTTTTGGATTAATTTTTGCACCCAATATTTGTACCCGACAATGACAAAGTGCTGTCCCCGCGTGTTTAAACTAAGGAAAGTTGATTCACAGTGTGTCAACTTTCCAGTGTCTACAGCACATAAACAGCATCCGAGTTCAGTTTTCAATAAAGAAAAAGTCCAGCAAAGGTCATATGCAGACTCGGAGAGATGGATTATCCTTCAGTTAATTGTTATTTTTATGCTACTAAATACTGTCTCCTGTGTCTACAACAAGGATTTCTTCAATTGTATTGTTCATATTTCATAGATGGAATCACAGTAAGTGAAAGAAAGTCAGTCTTTGTAACAGAAGAATGTAACAATCAAATTTAAAAAGCTTTTTTTTTTTCAAACATCTGGTTGGGTCAAGACAGAAAAAAAATATCTAAAAGAGGTAAATATTGTTTTTCCCTCCTATCCTCTCAATGCACTTTACAAGACACAGATCCAGTTCATATTAAATTAATTAGAATCTAATTTGGTACACATTTAGTTAAACTCAGTATAATTAATTCCATTGTGAATTTATTTGATTATTTTCACTTCACTCTTTTTGGCTCTTGATATTTCAGGTTATGCTTTAGCTACAATAGCTGTTTTGTATTTGCGCCAAGATCTCCACAAAAAATACAGAATAAATTTAAAAAAATCACAAAACGCAGGACAAGGAATATTTTTAGAAGAAAGAAGGGCATAATGGCAGCTTGGTTCATCCACTAAAAAGCCACAGAACTGAACCCACATGGGTTGTGATTCCATTCATTGGGAACAGAGCTAAAATTGAGACTTGAAAAAGCAAAAACATCAGGATGACAGAACAGAAAACCTTTTAGAAGCAAAAATATAAAGAAATAAGCACTGGATCACAATGGGTCACTCTTGTTTTTGCCACAGTGCTGCAGCAAAAACAAAATGTACTTTATAATTACATTCTTTTATTTTTACTTTAATAATTCCTCCATTTGGGGCAGTTAAAATTTTAGCCATTAAAAAGGAGAGACGTGCTTAATATGAGTAAGTGTGTCTCCCACAGATGTTCCAGACATGCACATTTCCCCATAACAGCCAACAACACTTATCTCTGTCAGTGTTTTTGATTGCTGTATTTATCATCCAATTACGCAGGACATCAGGAAGAGACAGCTTTAAATGCACTATAAAATCCTGTTTTTGCAGCTGTGATATATTTAGAAATTTCTCTTGGAAGTGGATGCAGTTGGGCCAAAGCATTTTTCTGAGCCAACCAAGCACTTTCACTCAGATTTTTGTTACCTTTACCCATACAATCTAAATGAGAATATTATACAGCCCCAGACTGCTGTCTGTCCAGAGATCAGCAAAGTCCACAGTGATGGAAATGGTGGACAACATAATCCAGACTTGCCATGTTCCTTCTATGTGTCTTGGTATGTGTTTTCAGGAGTTATCAGTCTCCTCCATCATCCATCATTGCTGGGATGAACCATTTTATCATACCGAGATAGAATAAAGTCATGGCTTTGTGTGTGCCTATGTGTGAGTGTGTTGGTGCAAGTGCGTTTTATTGCTTCCACCACATTACAACCCCGTCTGTGTCAGACTCATTCTATAAAGGCCCTTATCACTGGGTGAAAATACCAACTCTACAACCCCTACAGCCCCCAGATTAATAGAGAGCTAGACGCCGACAAAGAAATAGTGGTGCTGTGGTGCAAAAGACAGAGGAGGAAGCAGTGGAACTCAAATTGTATAAAAGAAGAGTTATGAAAAAACATGAGATGCAGAGACAAAAAAAAACATTTTTATTCTCCTTTGTTCTTTTTTTCACTATCATTAACTTTTATTTGTCACCTCATGAGTATAGTACACTCTTGTAAAGTCCTTGGACAGATCTGAGGACATAATGCAACCCTGTCTTGTAAAACCCTCTTTTTGTTGTAAATTTGTTATATACACCAATCATCCATATCTTTATAGCCAATGACGGTTAAAGTGACTAACGGTTTGTCGCAGCCTATTGTGTTGCAGGGACAAACATACGTCCTGGCATTCCCGGGGATATTACGTCAGCGCTGGCAGTCCACCTAAACGCCGTGCAAGATGAATCGCACCCTTCAAGTGGGAATAACACTCACCAGCAGGAGCTGCTTTCCCTCAGCAGGACAGGAGTAGACTCGATTAAAGCAACTCTGGAATAACTCAGAGAAGAGTCACAGGTGTTCACCTGTCTTCCACATTCACCAGACACCAGTAAAATGAGCTCCTGTGACATCTGTGGTAAGAGCACTCTGTCTAAAGACACATCACCAGTCCACAAGACACAAAGTGTATCTTTGGTTGTGTATGAATTAGTATCAAATGTCCACTGAAAATGTTAATGTATCTTAATATAAGCCGCTTTTCAGCTGATATAGTCACCTCAATTAGGAAAACAATGTCCTGTGTATTTTTCACGCTTATTGTATAGTACAACCAAGTAACTATGTTATCTTCACGCATAAAAATACTGCAATAAAAAAATGCTTTATATGTCAAACATAAATTAAAAGGAACTTGACGCCTTGAAATTGGCCTCTGTGTCTTTAAGAAGCACCTGTTCTTTTTGACACTCCGCATTCATCACATCACTACAACAACGTTTCTCCATTATGGTGTTTACAACTTAGGAGCTTTGGACTGATCAGTAGTTTGTATAAGCTCAGCAGACTGTCAGTACCAGGTGTTTGCTAATTGCTGCTGGTCAGGTGGAGCTGAGTGGTGAAGGTGCTGCTCTATGAGGCAGAAACTCGGCTGCAGATTTCGATTGTATACTATTGTATTTTAGTGTGCCTAAGTAAGAGAGGAATACCGTGTGTGGCCGTGTATTTGATACATTGTAAGGACCATTTTTCTAACACATGCGAGGTTGTGGGAACCAAAGGCTTCTTGTGAGGACCAAAGCTCAGGACCCAAAAGAAGATGTGCTGATTTTGGGTTATTTTTAGGACTACGTGTTAAGAATGAAGGGTATTTTTGTAAACACTTACAGAATACCTTTCATTGTGTAGAAGAGACAGGAGAAAAAAAGCTTAGAGCAGACATCCACATGTGGTTACCTTTTTAATTACAATTTGTGTGAAACAGTGTGGCAGACTAGAACCTATATTTGTCTCTCACCTCTGATCGCATCTCAGCTTTACCTTCATGAATCCCTGCAG